CATTTATGCTCAATACAACATCTCGACTGTCAACCACATCCTCAACCTTGTTAATAACTTCGTAGCCATGGCACCAAAGTACTCGGATGGCGAAAAAGTCCGCTACAAGCCCGTTGGAGGTGAGTTGGGCCGTTCCCCTTTCTATCCCATACATACATCCATCCAGCCTCAGCTCATCCCTACCTACCTATACTTCACCCACCCCTTTCCCCGGAGAAGCTGAATCGAGTTTTGCACTACTAAGGCCTTCTTCTCTTCATCACAGGACGCAATTCCAACACATCAGAGAGCACCGGTACCATCACCAATGTCCTCACAGAGCCCGGTACGCAGGCCGACCGCAACGTGCAGGCGTCGGCTGATGAGCCCCGTTACGAGGTTCGTAGTGCTCGTATTTGCATTTGTGACAGCAGATAGCTATCATTGCCGTCTGGACACTGACGGGATGGACAAGATCCAAAACGACAATACCGGTAAACTGACCAGCGTTTACGAGTCGAACATTCTTGGTCGTGCCTAGTCTGTCTGTCTGTCAGCAGATGTCGCGACGGAACTGGGTTATGTCAAAGGAGAAAGAAGAAAGGGGAGGTTGGGGTGGTGTTGAAGTGTTGAAGTGTTTGTAAAACAAACTATTGGACTGGGCCGTGTGGTGGTCCGGTGCAAATTCATGGATTATCATGTACGATTATAAAAATGCAATCTACCAACTTGAATCCCATACTGCACGGATGCCGCGAATGCCAACTCTTGATGTATTTGCTACAGTTTGTTTTCGTACGAAAACCATCGGAGTTCGTTCACCTGCCTTTCATGATCAAGTAGCTGTCGTCGCCACACGCCCATCTCACAGTATTCGGAGTTGATGGGCATTCGTTTTCCTTTGTTATCAATACCTCTGGGATCCACGCGTATGTACACACAAGTTGGCCGGCTTCTACTGTTGTTGCTGAGAAGTCTAGAATGTAGTCTCTTTGTTGGCCTGGCGTGCGGCGCTGGACTCTGATTGTAATTGAACCATCATTTGGGCGAACGCGGGGATATGTTGAAAGCACTGAGGAACATCGGATGCAAGTAGTCTATATGATGCATCAATTTGTATAGGTGATGCTATGAGAGCATAGCAGCTTACCTGAATATGTGCTTCTTCATACTTCGTGAAATAACAAGTGATCATGGATAATAAAAATCTGTGGCAGACCATGCTGAGTACGCTACATTAGTATAAAACTTCTCTTCGACGGCGGCTGGCCTATGAATTCACCCTCGGTATCCGGCAGCCTCTATCAGTATTCGAATTTCGTGATGAGTCGTGGCTCTTCACCATATTCTCTTGGATTTCTTCGACTTCTACCAATGTTTACACCACATACGGAGCTGTAGTCTTCTCGAGCACCCTTCTAATAGGTACTTACGATACTGCAACGATCATCCTGCGATATTTTCTCTCCACTGTTTTGTGCAGAGCTGTTGCCATGTTTGAGCTTAATGGCATGAGGACGACAATCACTGTACAAGCTAAGTATTCGTACAGCAGCGCAATATGTCAATGGTCGGCTTGTCTCTGACCAATTCAGCCATGTCTTTTGTTGAAAGATACATAGATACAATAGTAATTGCTCGGGAGAAGAAAATCTGAGAGCTACCCCGAGCCTATTGGGATGACTATGTCTGGAGCAATCCAAATCTTGATATACGAGGCAGCAATTTACGTTTAGTTTGGATAATGGAATCAAAATATATAATCAAAACTGATTCTGAAAGGCAGATCGGCTAACATCGTTTAGGGGCACGAAAACTCGATTATAAATCTGTTGTACATATACTCTCAGTCTGCTCTCTGTGCGTTGTTATCTCATAATACCTCAGGCTACATAATTGTAAAACCTATTATTGCTAACAGTAGGAAACAAATATGAAAAATATTCTCTATTAACAGGGATAAAAGCCCCGTAGTTTTCGGGAAATGGTTTTATTACTCATAGACAACTCTGATTAACTTCACTGAACAGAATCTTACGATCAGTACGATGTATCTGCACGCGACACAAATATTGAGGCCTCAAGCTTAATTGTGCGCAGATCATAAACAAGACTAGGTAACTAAAATACTTAAATCCTCTGTGATTGTGTTCAGGGTAGTTAGATTGGTAAACGGATATTACGTGAAAAGTTAAGACAACGTTGACTGCATTGACTCCCTGCACATAACACTAGTCATGGCAGGTGTACTGAACACGGCCGTAAACGCATACAGTCACCAAAAGGTTACCAAGTTGGTATCTTGGCATTCTAATTTCCCTTTATGGAAATTGGTGGTGTTGGTTGTTGGCCTATGCACCCAGTTATGACAACATCAGTCATTATTCTCAACAAGTCTATGCTGTAGTTGTCACATCTTAATTGGTTGGAGGATTCGACATAATTCAAGAAAACGATATATCACTTGAGTTGTTTTTCTAACTGAAACAATTTGACTTAATCTTGTATATTAGTTAACAATGTTGAAGGCAAGGGTGATTATACTATTGTGTTACTTGATGAGTTCAAGTCCGCGAAGTCTGAGTTAAGCTACCTTGGCATGTATGAAGTCGAGAGGTTAAAAGCAAGTTGATAATCTAGATTCTAAGTAGATTTCTATTGAATCCTAGGATAATAGGTTTAGGCTGGTCTGGCTGAAGACAGTCCAGTCGTTCATTACAGGGTGGTTAGAGGAGAATACTACAACGCTACAGTCCTGACTTCTTATACTTGACTTTCAAACCCCTGAATGACTCACTGCTCGAGGTCAACTCCGTTTCTTCCTTTGGCCTCGTTGGTATCCAGATAAATATCATACCAATGGATGCGTTTGCCAACATGTACCTTCTCTGTCAACACCTAAAGTACTGAGCTGGTTGACAAACACAGCGTGTTTCAACTCACGGTGTCATTTGACCAACTCCTTGCTTGATGACTCAAGGAACTTGTGTCTTGGCCAACAGTTACGGCCATTCTATAAAAAAACTCGATGCTTCGAAGTCTATATATATATCCCTCTTCTATCCTCGAGGTCGACTTTCTCACTGCTGTCTCTCATCTTTACATAAATCTTCTCACTCATCAACCATATCGATATACAGTCCCTGTTGCCTCAGGCTATTAAGGACAACATTCCACCATCATCAATCTCAACCTAGACCTCGACCTTGACCCTCCAGCCAAAATGTGCCAAGGAATTGTGACGAGCTCATGCCCGGGCTGCCGCAACACGTTGTCAATGCGCTGGACTCACTTCTGCCCATACCGCAATCCCTTCACATCTCACTGTACAGCTCCCCCCCATGTCGTTTTCGACAACAGCACAGTATTTATGGAATGCGGTAGATGTGGAAGTCTGCGAGCGCGCCAAGGGCAACTGCAACAGCAGCAGCGAGCACAGCGTCGTCATGAGGAAGAACAACAGCAGCAGCAGGAGCAAGCGCAGCGTCGTCACGAGGAAGAACAGGCGCGCCAGAAAGAAGAGCAGCTCATCGGGAAAGAAGAGCAACGCCTGGACCAAGAAGAGCTTCGTCTACGGCAAGAACGCCGTGACCTTGAGCAAGATCGTCAACGTCTCAAGCGTAGACGCCGTGGCATGGAAGAGGCTCTCACGGAAGAAGAAGAACGAATCGAGAAAGAGGAACGCCGTATAGAGGGAGAACAACGCCATCTGGATCGTGATCGCGAGCGTCTCCAGCGACGACGTGCTAGTAGCCAAAGTCCACCACGTCGAGGCAATGAGCGTCATGAGCATTAATCACAAGCGTAGTCTTGCGTAACTTGGATCGAGGCCTGGTCACCTGCTCAATATGGTATAGCAAATCCAGGCCACCATTTTTCGCAAATGTATAATTAGCTTTCGGTTTTGCTTGTTTGGAATCTTGCTACTATCTCTTACACGCAGCGAATCTGGATTTACCTAAGCGTCCTGGAGCGACTAGTAAGATCTGGGAATGTTTGGGAGTTAATAGAATACACTATCAATCTAATTTTGACCTTTTATTGCAGTTACTGCAGCTGCTAGTGCCACATAGACTTTGACTTAACATCATCAAAGATAACGTGTATTGTGGTCTGTGCTCTAAACAGCTGAACTAAGTATACTGTCCCGAAGGAAAAGGGTTGTAATTATCGTGGCATATTTCGAATGTGAGCGATAGCACATAGGTTCAACGCCGCTGGGGTAGATCATATAGCTAGAATAGCTCTGACACAGTACTATTTGACTCACGCCCGTGCCAGTATCGTGGTATATTAACCCTTACTAGCATTTGACTTAGTGAATTCTGACCAATTGGTCAACACCAGCACTGAAACTGAACTAACCTTCAACCACCTTCTGCCTTCAACAACACCCAAATACTTAGGGTTATGACGCCCTGACAGTGGGAGGCTGTTAAAGGTGCATATCCACTGACAACATCATCTACACCATCACACCGAGGTAAGGGCCGCGGAAGGCCTTGCGCAAGCGCCCAACAAACCTGAGGAGGCATAAAGCGCAGTAGCACACCTCGAGGGAGGCTAGGGGGCCGTCGACAAGGCCAAAGACGCCTGTAAAGAGGTCGCGACAGGGCTGGCGCTACTACAATGGCTGGAGTTCAGGCTATGTTGCAGCAACAGCATAGCTAAGGACCTTGAATTCCTTGAAGTTAAGGGATTGAGGGCTATAGAGGGCAACCGAGGGCTACGGGGGGTGGCCCAAAATCGACTATATTAGCTAGCATTGACTGATTCCATCAAATCTGTCATAAAAATCGAAGTTGGCTGTACGCGCCAGGCCGTCAGAGATCTCCCAGGCCGAAACGGGTTGGAGGGTGCCCGGTCAGCAACACTGGAAGAAATTCTGCAACTGTAGGTGCTGAAGAGTAACGATGTATGCAGGATGCAGGATGCAAATAGCAATGCTATACAACCAAAATTTAAGAAATTCAAATAGGAAAATAAACAAAATATGCAAAACATAGGTATAAAAAATGGATTAGTCGTACCGTGGATCGAACACGGAACCTTCTCGGAACATTGAACACATGTTGTACTGTGAACGAGAAATCATAACCATTAGAACATACGACTGTAATTGGTTGAACGTCATCCGGTTAAAATCTTTACAAGACCCATCGAAGGCTTGACCATGCCCCCCACCTATGTTGACAAATAAATAAAAATGCACGAAAAGCTGACTAGGTATTTAGTGAGGGCAAGTTCTCTATACGTGTAGCTTCGTGGTAAGACGATATCTGGATAAACCCTTGTGGATGATAATGGGGAGAAAGTAGACGCTTCATCTAATTACAGTCTTGAACATAGCACGTTTCTCGATAATTCAGAATACGGCTAGTTAAAAAGTCTTGCTGTACTTTTTTTTGTACTGAAGGTTTGCATCGCAGATACTATTTTTTCGACGCCCGTCAATGCACGGATGTGATAGTCAAGCGAAATGTTTGTCCGCAGCATGTCCCAGTCTCAGTCCCAGCCGTTGCTCCAAGTGACTCCTGTCTATGCAAATATCCCATGCTTGCTCTAAGGCTTCGCTCCCTCTCCCGACGCCATGGGCGTATGCATCTATAAACAATGCTCGATTGTCGTAGTTGGACCGCTCTCGGCCAATAATATACTAGGCATGTTCTAATCTATCTAGGTATCAATGCAGCCGTTGTGCTTCTCGTGCTAGTCCTTACCCGCTCGATTAGAGCCGAAACTATTATCTCAGTTGTCAAGAGTCTTCGGGCAAGCACCAAAGGATAAGGTTGGCTGCGGCCATGGATAATGTTCTGTCCTAGTCTGGCATGATAATCGCCCTCTCAGGTGATCTTGCTGGGGTTATTCATCATGAACGAGATGAATCTCTTCCACTAGACTTGATTACACCGCTACTCGAGTTCATAGGTACTGCAATAGGTTCGTTTCGGGCCTTCTGTGTAAGAGCTATGACCTCCTTCAGCATAAGCTCCCGAGTGCTGCGAGCCAACTCGTCGACGTCTTCAGTTGTCAATCCGGTTGTTGGTATGGGATCCAAGACTATGATTACGTCAGTAACCACTACTACAATGCCTAGTGCTTCACTTAAATTCTCACCTTTAACTGGGATCTTGCCCCTATTGAAGACGAGGCTCTTGATATGGAAGATATGGGAGTAGTTGGCAGCCACTACGGGAACTATAGGTACACCAGCCTGTACAGCCAGGTGGAAGGCTCCTTTCTTGAATGGTAATAGGCCGGGCTCCTTGGCGTAGCTACGGGTGCCTTCGGGAAACATGTAGACGCTCTGTTTCCGCCTCTGGATTTCACTAGCAGCACCGGCCATGGCTTCTCTTGCGTCCTTGGAGCTCTTCCTGTCAATGAAGACGGTACCACTCAAGGACATGTACCAGCCCAGAAATGGCACATTCTTCAAATTCTTCTTCGCTGTTACACTGCAGTATTTGGGGAATATGGATCCCAGCATCAGGACATCGAGTTCAGTCTGGTGGTTCCCGATAAAGACGGCCGGTCGAACCGTTTCGAGGTATTTGTTCGGATCCTCGATCTCGAAGCTAATGCCAGTCGTGATGGTCATGGCATATTTGAAAGCACGACCAGTGGTCCACTGAGCGATCTGTACGCGACCGAGGATTTGCAGGATTATCGAGGCGATGACACCATAGGTAGCGCATATTAACACGGAGACGTAGGCGGCGAGCGAACGAGCGACGAAGGCCGCTTTAGGGACAACGGTGGAAAGCATGTAGAGAGCGACGACAAGACCCATATAACCAGCGAAGAAATAGGTCAGATACGAAGTGAACGACATGCTATCGACCCGTGAAAAATTCGAGGGGGGGTATTGTCGGATTCTAAGTAAGTCGGTCTATCGCGGGGGCAGCTTCGCCAGAGGTTTGTTGGGCGAGCACAAGCACAAGCACAAGCTTGTGTGCATGAAGCTGCCTGCTTTATGTTCTAAAAAAAATGAATATAACAGATGCTTCTAATAAGAACACACGAGGACAATATGAACATGTGCAGTTGGAGTTGATACCGGGTCACAAGACCGCACAAGGGTTTGGAGTGTTGAAGAACGGGGAAGCCCAGAAAAATGGTATATGTATGTGGACACTGGTGACTGGTGACTGGTGACTGACTAGAGGCTGGTGGGGGGAATAGGCGAGCCTCGGCCATCCATCCATTTGGCAGGCAGTGATGAAATGGAATGGGCTAGGTAGGTACCCTGGTACCCTGGTACCCATGTATAAAACCCGATTCCCCAGCAGTGCCCCGGTGTCCCATCTTGTCCCGCTTTGTCATGCCCCAGATCATAATGAGCCAATCAGAGCCGTATAAATTGGTAAATCAGGGTCACGGCGGGTCATTTGGCTCATCCCCCCATGTCATCGTTTGCTTTAACACCCACAACAGAAACTACAACATTTCAACAGGGATACAGTAGTCAACCCCATCTTAATACATAGGTACGGAATATTAACAAGGATAACCAAGAAATAAATTTGCTATCTATCGAAAACAGTTATTTCCAATGTGAGCGATAGCGCACAGGCTCAATGCCGCGAAGGCAGATCTAGATGGCCAGAACAGCTGTAGCATAGTATTATTTAGCTTCCCCCCATGCTAGCAAAAACAAGATCATAACGTAACTAAAAGTTCAACACTAAAGTTTAATTAACGTGTATAACTTTAATAGCCCTTTAGTTCAAACTCTCTTCAAAGTCAAATGCCAGAAAATTGGCTATATAAGGGCGAGGCAGGCCTGCATGCTGCCATTTCCAACTTCACCAAACAATAATTCATCGAACAACTTCATCAAACAAGAGACAAGCTTATATACTATTATTTCTAACTTTACTAAATAATAATTTATCGAACAATTTTATTAAATAATAACTTTATTTTATTAAACTTAAAATTAATTATAAGCTTTAACTATAAAAGCAAAAATTTTAATTTTTAGTTAGTTTATAATAAACTATATTAAAATATTTTTTTTAATTTTAACCGTATATAACTATAGTTATATAAAGCTATTAATATAAAAAATAAAAACTTAAAAGCTGTTTAGTTTTTTAACGTTAAAACGAAAACAATTTAAAAAAAACTTATATAATAATAATAGCTTAATTTAAAAATATAAGCTTTTATTAAACAATAATACTATTAGTTTATACGCTTAATTAAAAGTTTAAAAAAAAATAAAATAAGAACAAAAAACAAAAATAAATTTCTTAACAAACTATTCTACAACGATTACACAGAATAAATACAATAATTAAAAGACGTAATCAGCGAACTTATATAGAAACAATCGAGAGAGAGAGATAGAGGACCAATCAAAGACTTAGCCAAAGACTTGAACATCTATAATGTGAACACCCAGGTAGTTGGTAACCCACATACCCAGGTGGGGGAAAACAGTTATTTCAATATTCAGCGTTGCCATCGCAGGACCATCGCTAAGAGCACAATTTTCAAGCCGCAATTCATCAAGAGGCACCTAAAGTGACACCCATGCAACGCTCCACAGACGACAACTTTTAAATAAGTGATCATTACTCTTCAATTAAAACCTTATAGCATTACTGGAAATTTTCAAACCATGATGGCCCTTTATTTCACACTAGTCGTACCTCCTTACATTAAAAATGAGGGCATAATCGTTGTTATGCCAAGGTCTACCCTTAGTAGGTGGCTACTGCTAACAATGTACGAGACACTTTGTTCCATGGAAAGCGGTAGCATCATAAAACTCAGTATCTGTATTGCTTAACGATAGATTGCAAGCTCTGCATGCAGAAGAAGCGTGCCGAGGCTCGTACAAAATTGGACTGTATCAACAACAAGAAGAATCATCTTCTTGAAAAGCACAAAACTAGCGCCTCCCCTAGTGAAAGCAAAGGGCCATAAAAAAAGAGAGCAGTCAAAGAAAGGGTCTGGGTGGGCTTTATGGCCAGATTAATAAATGAATCTTCTCTGATGTGTTTTTATAACTGAATTCTGGTTTCGCCATGATACTCCCATGCCGTGGACCGGACTCCTTCACCAATCTTTCACAAACAGATGGAACAGTGGAGTAAGAAAAGATTCAAAGAAGAAGCCGATAAGACTCAGCGGTCCAAATATCAGCATTGGTAGTATCGAAAGCGTAAAATGACCTTTCACGAATTTTAGTTAATGCCAGTATCTCGTTGTCAAACCAGGTTTAGTGGACAGAAACAAACAGCTCACCAAAAACTATATGACGCCTTGTGATAGTCTCCCACAGCTCGCCCGTCATAACCTCGACGGCGCCATGCCACTTCCACGGGCCACTGAGTCTAAACTTGGCGTTGAAATTAGCCCCCAGTGCCCACACTAGCAGGAGCTTCCACCAGCCGTCAGCCTGCTCCCGGCTAGAAAGGCTTATGCTCAAGACCTCAGAGAAAGAGGGCGCCGAGCCCATGTCCAAGGCTAACTGGTACGCGTAGCTCTCGTGGTCGACGCCATATCTTAGGCGGGCGTTCTCGGGCGGCGCTAGTCGGTAGAACGCCTCGTCTTTACGTAACAAGTCTCGCGATACCATTCGCTCGGGAGCCAGCAAGTTGAGCACCCAGAGTTGCGCTTGCATCTCAGCTAGTGGCGGGATAGCTCCCAAGTTTGGCCGCAAGAAGCCGATGAACCCGACGGTCGGGTCTTCCCGCATCCATATGCCTCGAACGTCAGCATGGCAAGCTCTAAGCTCTGTGTCTTTTAAGAAAGGGAATGTCTGTTCGTAGCCCGTGCAGAGAACAATCATATCAGGCTTGACGACCTGGTCCTTCATATGGTAATACTCGGGCCGCCCGTTATCCCTGAAATGCACGACGCCCTCTTGGTCAATGCATTCTGGCCAGGAAGCAACTTCGATCTCGCGACCGTTGGTGTCGATAAATTTCGGGGTTGAGACGATTAGCGAGCTGATTCTTTGAAGGAGTCCTGGCCGTTTTGGCCTCCAGTGAGCGCCAATGTAAGGGGCCAGCCTATGACCCGATTTGTTGAAGAATACTATGAGCATTGGGTATTTAACATTTATTACATAGAGCGTTCTATTAAAATTACTGAGTTAAGAC